CTAAATTGTCTATAGATTTTTCTGTTTTTCTGATCATGACAAGGAGTTTACGGCGGATTTGACCAGCCAACAAGGGATGTGTTAACTCCTCCGTTGCAATTAATACAACCTGATGTTTTTTGAGGTTCGTGTTTGCTCTGCTCCTGATTTGTATTGTTTCAATTGGCTATTCAGCTTGATTACTGTTTGGTATCTCCATATATATATATGCCTTTCAAAGAAATGATTTAGAAACAACCCCATAAGTATATAATTAATATGTAGACATACACATGCACAGATTTAATGGCTAAAAATTATTTAGGAATTGCAACAGTAAGAAACATCAGTACACTTTGTATATAAGTTATCTGAATGACTTTATAACAATTGACTCACGGATCTTATTGTTCTTGCAATGTTTGCATAATTTTACCAATGTAAGGAATTAAGCAAGTGTACGTGCATGTCCTACATAAATGTTGAACTACCATATATGTAAGTGCACCAAACTTCTAGGTGACATTGCATTTTTTAACTTTTACTTTTAGTTTCCTAATTATTTCTACGACAAAGAGGTCATGTTATATAAGCTGCAATATTTGCCAGATTTGTAGTCACAAATGGAAATTTATTTTACTTACTTACAATATCAATATACTGGTAATAAATTAATAGTTAAAACACCGAATGTGTCATAGGGTTTCTCCAAAATCGTGACACATTTACTGTTAATAATAAATCATATTTCTGTGTGTCACTATGATATTCACACAAAACATTTTAACGGTCTTTTTTATTTATAATTACAGGTTACTGGAATGCACAGAATTAAAATCCGCCCTCTGTAACTCTTAAAGATCAGAACTTTGTACCCATACTCTCAAGTTTTAGTACCAGAAATGTTGGAAACCGCCTGCAATAATTCAATACGTGATGTGTATCTAAAAATTTCTTTGTTTTCTTTTAGGCATGAAAGAATGAATATAAAATATGATACGAAAACGTTAACTTCCGAAAGATGACTTTCTGCCTCCAAGGTGGGATATATCTGATTCAATTGAAATAATAGAGAGCCTTAATAATAAAATTCTTCGTCAAATTTAAAATAAAGGTCGCACTTTTATTACTAAAACTATCGTGTGAAAGAGTTATAGAGTGATGAAAATGGCGCGTCAGAAACGCACTTTTTAAAAGGTGTCTAGGTGCGTTTCTGCATTTGAAAGTATTGTCCAATTACTTGTCAGGTTAACTGCAATTTAATGATGACCAGGTTTGTTTTAAGGAAATTTCATTTATCGCTACATTGTCTTCTTTGTCCTCAGCAGTTTTCTCAAATTACATTTGTATCGTTTTTTGCTATTAGCTAAATATTGACAACTTCTTAGAGTGTAATTTTGATGAACTAGAGTCGCAGTTAAAATAATATCACAGATATGTCAAAAAAGTGACTCGGTTGTTAAAAAGGAACATTCTTTGTTTCTGACTTTCTCAGGTCAACAGTCAACCCCTTCAGTAACTTAAAGTAGTACCTAGTGGTAATCATATCACACAGACAAATACCGGTAATATTAATTGAATAATGCTAAATTATTCATTTTATTTTAGCTGATTTTACAGATCCATACAAGGGTAGGCAATGATCATGATAACTCCTGAACAAATGGCGTACAATTGAAGACCAAGCTCAGATATTTTTTTTGTTTTAATTGTCGACTTATTTTGGACCATCGCCTTACGATATGTCACTCGTCAGCTTTTTAGAAAAGTTCACGCAGAACCTTTTACTTCAAAACTATTTATTGAAACTCAATTTTTATAACATATTTAATGACAACAATGTTAATGATTCAACATTCAACGAAAAAACTGCTCAAAAAGCTACAAAGAAGCAAGATTTATGAGGGACTATTTCTTGTGGTGGAAGGATATTTAGCAGATAATTCTGCAAATCTGCACATTTATTAAATTCAGTATCTTCGAACTTTTGCCTTACATGCTTTTACTCGGAGAATAGTTTCCATTTTGATATTTCTAGGAATATCTAATATAGGTCTTAATTTAAATTTTTAGAACAACTTTAGAACAACTTTTACAAATCCATTCAAATTTGTCCAAAAAATGAAGATATGTCAAATAAGTCAAGATAAAATTTACACCATTTTTCGCCTGAAAATCACATATTTTGATCAATATTTCAAAATTAACATCACTGACCCCAACTTTTTCTTTTATTATTTTAAATTACTCGATACTTGTGACTGATTAGCACTTAAATCGTAAAAAGCTTGATTTAGGAAAATGTTTTATTGCCTTTTTTAGTTTTCCAATGCCCCAAATATGTTACGTTTTAGTGCAAAAAGGTGACACAATAATTTACGCGCATTGATTTGCAAGATTAGTTCAATGATAAATATTGTTCAAAATATTTTACGTAATTTATTGCCATGGTTACATCTGTATAAATGTGATAAAGGTTAAAGTAATTAACCAAGGAGTTAGAATTTAAGTGCAAAAAGGTCAACTTCATTGTACCGTAGATCAGTAAGATGAACAATATACCTTAATGCGTTTGTTAGACATCCAATCTGACGAAAAAAGGTAATAAATTATAACTTAACTTCAGAGTAAATTAGGAAAACATTTCTAAGATTTTACTGATATATCCTTTTCATGCGATTAATAATTAATTGATTTCTTTATAAAAACTGCATGGTCGACCTTGAGAAATTCTTTGATGTCTGATTATTTGTAGTAATGAACGATTGAAGGATTACATGTTGTGAATAATAGTTATTGTTTAACTGTTTGAAGTCTTCTTTTTTCTGACCCATTTGAGCCAACTGTGATTTTATAGGAAAGACTTCGATGCATTTAAAGTAAATGAGTTCGATGATTGGGATATTTGCTGTAGAAATGTCTTAGTATTAAGAACTCCCGCCAAGTAACGAAGTTCCCACTTTGGTCATTTTGCCATAATCGATATAATTGAAGAAATGAATAGCATAGCATGTCTGGAAATGATTTTACCGAGAAATTGGCCGTTCAAAACATTAGCACGTTTTTCCCGCGTGGATTAGCCATATTAGGCGCTAAGCATTTTGCCCCCGTGGGTTTCTTAATGATCAAATACGCCAAATCTATCTTAACGAAATACTCTCGCGCCAGGAACTTGAAAATGGCTTTTGACATTCTATAAACCAATTGAGAAATATCTCGCAAGTCAGATATAATTGAAAAGTATTGCCATAAATCGACTCATTTTCAAACGGACGCAAAGATTCCGGATAGTTATTTTATTTTGATGTAAGCAGAAAGCAATGTGTCTTGACACAACAATTTTTGAAGATAAATGGCGATTGCCTGGTTATGTTAGACTAGATTACATTTAATCCACGAGGATCAACAAGGGATTTTGAAGTAAAATGTTTATTCGTGAATTGCAAAAATTTCAAAGAATTATGTTTTATAGTAGTTAGATCCTCTACACGTATTTACATGGGTAGATATTCATATAAATTAACCAGAGACTTAAGTAACATGTTTGAGCGTCTCTGATTTCAGTTTAAAATGTACAGATCGATCGAGTTTTTGTTTATTTACACACAAAATGTACATGCATGTGTCTTCTTTATTAAAGAAAAATAACTATTTCCTGTGTTCAAAATCACGAATATGTAAATGCATGCAAGTATGTAAATTACACAATAACATACTTTGATGATGAGGTAATACTTTCCTTAAATTTTTTCTTTAATATTTCATCTGTGTGAACCATATAATAGACCAGATCCTTTGTTAACTTGATTTTTAAAAGAACATGAAAAAAAAAATTTCTCAGCAATACATGATGAGGATGAAATCATCGTTGCAGATGTGCATATCAGTTATGTCAACAATCTCTAGATTTGTCTTGACAGAGTGGAAATAGGAAGAGACATTTCTGACAAACAGTCGGTGCTGGGGGACTCTTCGTCTTCCCATCTGTCTTGTAACATCTTCAAACCTCAAGGAAAATATCGACGGAAACACCAAACACTCTATAAAACAAAACAATGCTCCATCAAAGTATCTTATAGCAAATCAAAATGTCCTGTCTCCTATCTTATATTACTATCCCCATGCATCTTGGTTTATCTTGGTAAAGTTCGTAAAGACGAGGAGAACAAGCGACAAGGAACGCGATATCAGTGTCTTTTTTAGAACAGACTTTGGAAATTTTCGTTGCCTCTATTATTTTTTCCAATTAAAATCGGATTATGTCAGATCTTAGGAATATTTTTCAATGCATTTTTATTGACAGTCCGTCCTGATCTAATTTCAGATATTTTCTGGTGTCTGTTCGATGGACGATTATCTAGATGACGTACGAAGAGGTCCCGTCTGACGAAATTAAAGAGAACAAAAATAATAGATATGTTGGATTTCGATAAATCGATTTGGCGATAGAAAATATTTATTATAATTCTTATTCATTTGTATATTTTCTTGCTATTTATTTATCATAATCAACATAAGGTTATAATTAACATAGATATAATGTTATGTTTTTTGAAAGGAATCAAATTGAGTGCAACGCTTGTAAAACACAGCATCTTCTATAAGACAATATTAATCCCTTTTCCTTGTTTTTTTTTTTCATCTAACGTATAATAGGAAAGGAGCGTAGAATGTAATACTAGCGGTTTTCAACAGAAGTATGCATGTTTGCTAAACATATACTTAAAGGCTTTCTTTCTTATCACTTTTCTTTAAAGATTTCCTTGGTATTGGGATTCAAATATCTATATTTTTTTGACACTAATGATAATTATTACTACTTTCAATTCAAAGGCTAAATTATGCATCTGGATTTCGTACTTGGTATTTTCACATGGATTCTACAGACATGGTAGAATTCAAAATGACTGTTTATCCGAAACTGCATTTGGAGTATCTTCTCGTAATTCAATATATAAAGTATTCCTTTCTGTTTCTTTGAAGATGATAAAGTTTCATGATATCTGATCACAAGACAAAACTTTAAAAAGCATAGAAATACAATATATTTTATGTTGTTAATTGGTGTTTTGTTTGGAGTTTATACATACATAATTTATATTGAAAAATATACATGTACCAATAACTGATATTGCAGGAAATACAACATGTTTTGGCTTTTCGTGTGAAACAAGAAATAAGGAAAGGAATTTCCCAAGATTTCAATGGTTCTTATTTTTTTTATTACAAGACATTGCATATATCATGTTTTAATTCGATGGAACACGTTTGGACAGATATATTAAAACTGCAGAAAAGTATCCATCTATAAATATAATCCCCAAGAGTGATTTTTTTTCATGCATAATTCATATAATTTGCATTCTTTTCTATTATTTTCCAACTAATACAAAATCTTTGCAACAAACCATAACAATGTTTTATTGAAAGTACAGGTCATAATTCCTTCCTTGTTTTCTAGAAAATCTCTGTAAATTTTCAAAAATCGATGTTTTATCTTAGAATACATTATTTTTAACAATGTAACATCTTTCATGATCGGAAGTCGTTGTTTCGGCTTTTGGTGACGGGGTGTATTTTCAGCCCTAAATGAGATAGCGACTGTGGTAATAAGGTTTTGCCGTTCTTGCGATTCTTCGCTGGTGGAATGATGCCGTTGGGAAATCGCCAGTTATTGACAATCTGAACACAAAGCTTTTTTTTCTGCTCCCGAGTGATACTAAGCATACTAATTCTCCTATTCCCTGATCACCTTCTCAACAGGAATTCACTACACTTAATACAGCGTCCAGTGCCATCACACAACAATGCCACAAAGATTTTTTTTTAAAAAGACATGATGCATCTTTCCTCTTTCCTTATGTAATGGTTTTCCTGGTTACTTTCTTCGCAGCCAATGACAAGTAAATCGCCTTTCAAAGACGAATTGTTTCCTTCACATTTTGCAGCCTTACATGTGTTCATCTTTCAAAACCTTCTGAACACTATACATCCAATGGCTTAACAGTATAACGTTAGGAATTTTAGACACATTTTGGTTTAATCTCATCCTGCATCCTGGTGAATATAAAAAAGAACGAGAAAACATAAGACCAACATAGAGAAAATTTCTAACAATCATATCTTTTAGAAACTTTTGCTTAAATATTTTCTTTCAACTATAACAGTCTCAAAAACTATTCTGCAACAAAAATAAATATCTTTAAGGATAACAATTGGGCAGTAAGAGTTGAACAAATCAACATCTGTATTATGAAATGTATGGAAATAACGAACAAACTTCAAACTCAAAAGTCCATTAAACAATACGAAATAGGAGCAGAGCTAACACGGACCTCCAAAACATCAGAGGTGGGATGAGGGCCCATTATATTCCTAAAAAAAGATGCCCCTTAAGCAAAAAGGAACATGATTAATAGTATTTTCATCCATTATTAAATTACATTCGTAATATTGTGCAAAGTTACTGAATCACTTGATGAAAAAAAAACCTCGTAGTTTCTTCTTCTTTTACACTTTATATGTATACTTTTTTCTGCATAAAATTAAAATAAAGTTACAATGCATATTCGTGCCCATAAAGATACACTTGATAATATGTTTTGATTACAAGTTAATTAGGAGAGAATTTTCAGAATTATGAGTCAGAAACTTCAAGCAAGTGCAATGCACTTTTAATATATAAAAAAAACATCTTAAACTAAACCGTCGCAGACGATCATATAATAAAGTTCTAAGTCTGCGATTCATAGTATCCCCAGGACAGATTCGGTGCCTTATTTCTCAAGAGAATGAATATTTGTGGAGCATTGCATCATTTTATTAAGGTCGAAATTATAATACTGAAGGTACAGGGAAAGACAAGTTGATGTCTGCTTAAAAAAATTAGGAACACGTGGCTTTAAATAAAAAGTGAAATACTTTCTTCTTTGAAAAGAAGTTTATCAAGTACAACTACTATTTCAGATATAAATAAACATGTTTCGGTATAACTATTACCTATTTTAGAGGTTTGATGTATGAATATTAGAAATAGAACATTCTTTTTTTTTTTTTTTTTTTTTTTTTTGGTCACGGGTTAAATCCTTACTTTGAAGTACTTTATATATAAACATGTATGTAATAAATCGGATAAGAATAGCATTTTTAACTAAGTTTTTAGTTTTTATCAATGCTACTCATTAAGTGGAGAAGTATACGCTATAATATATCATCCTTATATAATTTACTATTTAGAGTCATACAATTTAACATGCTAAAGCATGATGTACTCAGTTTTCTCTCGACTTCAAACCTATTTCAGCAATTATATATTGCACAAAAAATGGCTGAAACAAAAATATGTCCAAAAATCAATTAAGAAAGAATCTAAATCGACAAGGATCTGACGAAAAGTGATTTTACATGCGTATTTGATAGCCTGGAATCTGCGAGATTCCATATAAAGAACGATTCTGTAGCTGCTCACCCTGCCATTTCACTTGATGAATGGAATAATAAAATAGGGATATTGTGTTTCCTCGTGCCGTAATGAAACAGACAAACAGCTCCATGCTAATTCCGTGCTTAAACTGACAATCATAATTAAATTTCCCAGCAATTCACCCTGTTTTATGAGATATATTGAACTATATTAAGTAGCGCGTTGCAGAGCGAGACACCTTCATTGTGGAACCTAACGAAATTTTCTGTCTAATAATCCGGCTTTCATTTTTGTTCCGAAAAGTCAAAGGGTCACTTTCAGAGAAAAACGTGATTAAGCAATCGAAATAAATTTCAAATGCGTATAAAAACAACTAAATTTTAATTATTTTTAGTTATCTCCAGAAATAAGTACATAAATTTATATCATTTTCTATATTTATCTATCAAATTCATTTCAAATTTATCTACTTATTTCTGGAGGTAATCTGAAATCTTATTCTTTGCATAGTTGAGTCATGATGAAATGTTCATTACTTCATAGAGCATTAACAAGTTTTTCATTATCTGGAAATTATTCAACTTTTTCTCAAGGATTAAGCGACAAAATGACATATTTGTGCAGGGTATATACCTGATTTTGGTCTGGTAATCTTTCAGAATGGTAAAATTTTCTTCTGTTCATGGTAAATTGGACTTTACTTTCCTGCAAAAATATAAAATTTATCCATAATAAAATAGTCCATTGAAAAATCTACTTTGGATTGAAAACTTTCTAATTATTTAAGATTTTAAGAGTTTTAAGAGACATAGCACGCCATTAACTTTTCAGTTTGTAAAGATGCAGAAAATGAAGCAAGACAAATAAATGACTTTACCAGAAACACACGCACATACACAAAAAGAAAAGTATTTTTCTCCTAGCTAGTTACGAAACTTGGTTCATTTAAATCAATACATATTGAATGATTCCAAGATAAAAAAAAATTACTTAAAATATCAAAGCTGTTAGCTTTTACATTACTCTGTACCTATTCATATTGCATTTTTATTGGGGAACACAATCAAACAATACGAAACGGTAACCATTTTCAAAAATCATACATAATAATATAATTATGTATCTATACAAAATTAACGTCAAAGTGTACTTCTACATAATGTTTAAACCTTTGTATCATCATTAGAGAACATTCGTAAATATTGAACTTTTATTTAAAGGAAGTTCTTTTATCTGTATTCTTTTTATCGAAGGTGTGGGAACAATGAATGATAATTGATATCTAATGAAAATACAATATTGACGAATAATATGTAAAGCCGTTTAAACTATAAATATTCATTAAGTTGAATGTTCTATAGATCAAATGTCAGAGAATATAACCTAAATAATGATATTAGTCGTAAAGAAATGGCCATTAACAAAAGTGATTAATTCATATATGAAGCCATAATAATTAATTATTATCAGAACAAAATAAGCTTGTTTTTGATAACAATAAACATAAGAGAATAGAGAAAAAAACTTGATAAAAGAAGAACAATCAGATGAAAGGTTAAAGCAAACAGATAATTTTGGTAACAGGGTTTTTGGTGCTATTTAACTGACAAATTGATTATAGAACAATTAAAAAATTTATGTCACCAAAGACGTGGAAGAATTTTATGTCTTTGATGATTTTTGAACAAGATTCTTTTATTATCCTACCAATTGATATTAAAACCTTTATTTTCAATTTTTTGCAATTTTGGGAAGTTTCCCACCATAATTGTGACAAGAAGGCGAATGTTTTAGTTTTGATGGTTTGATGTGTTAAGATATCAATAAGATACGAGATAATAATACATTACATAAAAGTTAAATAATATGACTAAATAGTTACGATGCACCATATGATACAGCAAAACGCAAAAAGGGTCTGCCCCAGGAACACATATGTCGCAAAGGTAGAAGAATTTAAGTGAAATAGCTTTGATGAAAGTTCACATTAAATTCAGATAAAATCATGATATCCAATACGTTACAAAAACGAGATAAAATTTCTCACGTGAAATACGATATTTTCTTAATATAATTAAAACATATTGAAAAGAATACTAACATTAGTAATATGATATTTAATTAAGAGTGCTAAATGTGTTAAAAGGTGCATTGATGTCATTTTTAATCATAACCATATCTATAAAAGTGTTGCTTGATTTCTTGTATTTTTCTTTTGATTCTGAAAAAGCATTTTGCGTATTTTGTCTGAAGATACATACATATTGATTTTTGTAGCAAAAACAATAAAAAACAAAGAATTTTTAAATAAATTATGATACATGTATATATATACTTTTGTAATCATGTAAATTGGAAAGAAAAAAATACTTGGCAAGTATATTGCACGTATCAAAAATACCTATCAATCAAAGTAATCTAATATAAAGATTTTCATAAAATTCAGGATTTTCTGTTTTTTAAACGTGCATTTTGTAAACTGAATGAATTAAGAGGATGTAACCTGATTTTTTTTTTTTTTTGGTCCCCTGGTCCTTCGATTCACAGTTTCACAATTTCTATAAATATATAGATTTACGTACTGTCTATCAAGACAATCGCTAATAAGATAACGCGCGTTTTCCATTTCATTTAACATGCATTTTTTTAGCAATCCAAGAAAAGTAGTCTCATGCAATTGAAAAAAGTCCACAGTGGTATGAACAAAGATATATTTTCCATTTAGAAAGGTACATTTATTGGTACTTGCATTAAGTTTTTTTCCTTTCTCTGCTTATCAGTTGCAATCTTTTAATAGATTGCGACTTTTGCAGACTTGATGCACTAAGTGCACGTATAAAGAAACTTTAATTTCAATATTTCATATTTAATCAAACGCTTTTTTTAACCAAGCAAAGTAAATTTTTTATTTTATTCAGTGCAATGAAGAATTATATGTATTTCATGTATTTACAACAGCTTTTTTGCTATGTAGTTAATTCATCTGTATTGTATTTTCCCAGAATTCTAGCCAAACCCAGCATTAGTTATTATATTGAAGGTATTGATTTCATGAAACCAATTGTAATGGGCCTCCCATATTGCTATTCGTTGGCGAAAAAATGATAGGTTTAGGATAGAAAATCTTTATACTCAATAGGAAAAGCTAGGCTTCTGGTTAGTTGTGGTTTTCCTTCTTCCCCAACTTCATGCCGCATTCTAGAAATCGTTTTATGTGTAAATTTCAGAGCAAAAGTAAATAACCCCCGACAATTTAACTAGTTTGATTGGTGAATTGTACAATTAAAAAAAACTTTTTTCTAGTATAAAATGCAAGCCTAAAATGCACAAACCTTTAAGTATTTTTTCTAAGTTAAAATTAAAATTAAAAACAATTAAAAACAATTGCAAAAATATATTTGGTTATTTGAGAATTCATCATGACCTTAAAATTTGTTATCTGTGCCGATTTTTTGTTCCTTGCTTGTTTTTGCACCAAAGGACAATAGTTGATTTTTATTCGTTGATGCAATATTTAACTGTATAAAGTTCTTACCACTTTCTAGGGATATAAAGTTCACAAAATTTTAATAAAAAACGATCTGTATCATTAACAAATATTTTAGAGATTATATAAAATTCATTACCAATTCGATAATAGATATTGCTGATAAACGAACACGTTTACGTAGAGTAATATTTGATACTTCATTTCAAGGCATCATTCTAAATGATATAAAATATGCATATGGTTTCCGCTGGTTAAGAATCTGACATTTGTACAATTTGATTTTGATTTTGATTTTTTTTTTCAGGTGAATATAATGAAATCCGTCATTCCCTCGTGAGAAGAAAAAAAATCCGCATCCAATGCTTTTAGGTACATTAGTCATAGAAACTGAATGGAGACTGCATTTACTATAATATTATCCCACTACGTGATTGAAATTATGTAAATCTGCCCGGCGAAAAGTAAAACTAAGCCTCAAGATGGTTTTTTGAAACTATTGTTTCGGTTGTTGATTGTTTCACCATAATTCAATCAGGGTTAGGAGAGGTGTGTTTTTTTTTTAGTCGTTATTGTACGCATGTCATTTTAACCAGCTGATATAAATCATTGCATCTATTAGTAAAAAAGAATAACGTAATTACAATTAAGTTCAGCCCCTTTTAAGTCTTAATGAATCACGTACATTGAGTCCACGTTCCGGTGAAAAAATGTTATAATTTCATTTTTAAAATCAATATGAAATAAGTTTTCATGGCAACTATCCACATGTATGTACGTTAAATACGAACACAGAATACAAAGTAAAATGACATTGTAACACCTGAATGCAGTTAAAAATTAAAATGAAAAAGTATGGGTTACCTTTCTTGAACCAGTAAGGTGAACATACGTTAAATATATAAAGTATTCCATTTTTTTTAAATAAATGGCTATTGCAGATTGATAATGATTAAGCACACAAGAATATTGAAGTTAATCAAGAAAATATTTTGCAAAATATGATGGATTTTGATCTGTATAGTACTTTGCTTGTAGGAACATTTTTCCTTAAAAATAGTAACATACTTTAATCATTTTTTAAATAAATAAATAAAACAATATGCTTCTACTGTATGCAAGAAGATGAGGTATTTTGATTTTATGGTTTAAAAACCCAATGGATTGCATTTGCCATTTGAAGATGTAATTTTAAAATACATTAAAGAAAGGATTTTTTTTCTTTGAAGAATTGATAGAAAAATATCTTTAAAGATCTTTTGGTATAAACAATCCTTATTTCCTGAAGGCTAATTGTACGGAGAGAACTTTGGTTAATTATTCTTCAAGAACGGTTTTATGTGTACTGATAGCAAAAACGTCATAGAAGCCAGCTCATTTGCATTTTGGTAGCGAGCTTGATGGATAGAACGTGATATGGAATTTGCCATCTGACCCCTATTACTAAAACGTGTGAAAACTGTTTCCCTAATAAGCTGATGTTTACCGAACAATTTAAAAAAATATAATACCACAATTCAAGTACATTTCAGGAATATTCATATGTTTTTATAAAATATTTGATTTTTTCGATTAGAATATAATTAATTTCTTATCCGAGATTGCTTGAATGCTTGATCCCTTGAATATTTTGTAAAACAAATTACTATTTTTATTTTCGTACAAAATCATACATATGTTATGCATTGAATGTGTCTGGCTAGCATTATAAACTCCTACATGCAAGACTGTCAAACTATAAAATAGTGCTCCTTTGCACTTTTAACAATACTAAAACTTAAAACTTGTATCAAAGTGTGTTCAAATCTACATTGAAAATGAACAAATAAAACTTAAATATGTGAATATTCTGGTTCATTTTCATGTTCATTTTCTATTTTTCAGGTTAAAATTAAAGAGAAGTATAATCAATCAAAATACAATCGATATTATCGAAGAAAAATATCCATCATTATGAAATAGTGGAAAAGGGGATCCACCCAAACTGAGAATCTTTAACATAATGTCATTAATGCAATAAAATCAATCTCTATTTTTTTTTATATATGAACTTGTTTGTTTCAAGAAAAAATACCAAGATTTTAAAAAGTGTTTTCATTCTTTGATGGTAATAAAATTGTAGACTAGAATTAATTGATTCTAGATTAATTTACCGAATCAAAGTTAAGATATTTGTCCTCAACAAAAATTTAGAATTTTTCAATTCAAACTTTAAATTGAAAAATTCTACATTTTTTACAGGACGTATTTATATGGTTGAAACGTTCCAAAAATGAAATAAAAGGAAGCTTTAAGTTTGCTGTATCCTTGAATTGATACTTGCAAGCAATTAGAACTTAATATATATACAAAAATAAACATGATTCAATTTTTTTTTTAGTTTTACCTATTTCAGTTTGCTCTACCCATGCTTTGTAGCTTTACTATGGATAAAAATTTAACAAGAATTGAAAAACAGTAGACGTATTTTTTTCCGCGTGGTATTTACACTATGTACTGTACACGGTCGCAAATTTTCCGCGGAAATTCGTCCCATCGTACATGTAAGGCACCCCGTGGATAAAAGTACGTCTACAGTAATTTGACCTTAAAAGTGACAAATATCAAATGTTATCATTCAGGTAATGATGCAGTAAAATATTGAATTCTTATTCTTTCCACGTACAATGTGTCCAATGTAATAATCGAATCTAGGCCTGGATAGTACATTCCACAAAAGTTGCTGATAATATGTCAAAGTCCTTATTCTTTTATCTCGCTTTATCGTTACAAGGGCATTTTTGTAAATTCACATGATAATGAGAGAACAGCTCAATACATTGCTATAAGATCCAGAGTAGGTGATACAAATGAAAATTCCTTCATTATTTATGCTTGAAAATGTCAATTGATTTCTAAAATGAATTTTTCTTAAATTTTTGAACGAATTTTGTATGGATAAGTCTATAATATGTATAAGTGGTAGCATGTTTTATAAGTTTTTGAATTCTGTCCGACCACTTGTTTAAAAGTTAGGGTCTTTCTGAGCCGTGAATGACAAGACTCTCGCTTCAACCTGTCTGTTTGAATTTATTGAATTCTTTGCAAATCTGTAGCGTCAAATTGAATTACATTTGTGAGAATGGAGCGAAAATAAAAAGGCCTAACATAAAAAGCAGCACAACTGATAATGCGTCTCGAACGAATGCCTTCCACTATTGAGATAAATCACTGCTCCAATAAACGGATTTATCCAATAACATTTGAAATTGACAATAACAACAATGCGATAATCCTTTCAATCGTGTCAACTAAACTCGAGGAAAACTCCTCTATTCTCCGGAATTCAAAAACAAGACGTTCAATATTTTTCAGCAATAGTCTTGCACGTGCAAAAATACATCCCAGGCTGTGAATTAGTTCTCTCCCAATTATCAAAATCGGGATCAATTTCGAGTGAACCTGGAGAGTGAAAAAATGAAATATAAGATGATAAACAGCTGAGGTGTTTCAATGTTTCAAACAATTTATGAGTTATTAATAATAAATAAGCTTTAAAGTATTCAAACTTGAACGGTTTTGCACAAAAGACAAGAGAGAAGAATTATTTCATTTTTTGAAGAAAAAAATATCATTATTAACTATGTATGCTTATATGATAGAAAAAAAATTTTGCGTCATGCAACTTTGAAAAATATACTATTTGTTTTCTTTCCTTTTTTCCTTTTGTTTACATTTGAAGTAACTTTTATGCATTAACATGAGCGTGACCAAACAAACTTCTACTGCTTCGCACACTTAGGACTGAGTTTACATTTATTTGAGAAACGATCTGCATAAAATTTACATAAATTGTTTCTTTCAGTTGATAAGGTCAACGATCGAATTGTGTGAATGAAGTCCAGACACGTTTGGAATAAGAAAATAATGACTGCAATTTCAAAGAAAAACAAAACATCTTAATATTATCCCTTGCCAGCTCTTACAAATGTCCCGCATTTATTACAGATTTTTGTATATGCTGATATAAAAGGAATTTATAAATAACGTAAACATTTCAAATATAAATATATAAAAATTTCATACATAAAGATATAAAGATATAAAAATTCAAAAATAATATTTATGATAATAATAAGATTCAATTTAGGAAAATTTAGTGAATGTAAATACTATTTTTTCATTGAATATTGCAATAAGAATAAGAGAATCTGGGTTTTTTTTTTTTTTAGTTTTTCTGATGTAAATTGTGAGAAAAGGAAAAAAAATTGACGTATTTGAAGATAAATCAATTAAAGCATGGCCTGTTTTGTATATCAATTTTGTTTACTTTCTTTATAAAAGTGAAGAAAGTAATTTGCCGAAGGAAAGGTTTATAAGATTATTCATTGAGTATATTTTCAGAAGTTTATTTTGTTTAAGAAAGTAATTAAAAAAAATAATCTGTTCTGAAATACTCACAACTATACCTTACAGATTAATTTTTAGGAATTTTTATTTACTGCAAACACCTTTTCAAATACATTATTTTATCTTGAATTAGACAATTTCATATTTACAAATACCAAATATTTTTAGGATTTCTATAAGCATCTACATGCAATAAGCCTTTACAAAACATACGTATACAATGCATATGCAGATTTAGACCAATTTTCGAAAATCCATGAATTGAAAATTCCTTTAAAACCAGAATCAACGAATTTCCATAGAATAATGGAAAATTTCCAATATTTTAGGGCCTTTTTCATTGAATCCAATAATTTTACTACTGGTACTTAACTGCAGGAAAGGGTAAAAATGTTCCCTGGTTCCACGAGAACACGTCCCAGCTGTTGTCTGGGAAATATTCTATTCTTTACAATAGTCGTGGTAGAACAATAAAGATTTCCATTGTTCCTGGGCTGCAGAAAACAGGGTGATGGATGGTTTGAGTGTAGAATGGCTTTTTGATTACAGCAATATTGGTAAAATCGACATTAGGTTCCCGTCAATAAATGTGAATACAGGACGATATTTGTGTCCCCTATTTTTTTTTACTTGCTTTGCTTTCAGGGGACTTTGGTATGGGCAAAGTGGTGGTGGTTGTGATATTACATTGTAGAATAATTGATGAAAATCACTATTAAAAATTTTGTTTCTATTTATTTTTCTTTAATTTCAATTCTACGTGTGTGAACAAATTTGATGGGCTGATGAATTGGAAAAAAATAAAACCTTGTAATTTCAATCTTTGCTTAATTTTTTACCGTGCAAAGAAAACAGAGAAAAATAAAAGCAAAATAAAAAGTTAAACAAATCTCAATTTAAGTATATTTAGAGTTTCGAAATTTTCGATAAAATTATTATAACCTTCTTCCATACTCTTCCATACTGAAAAAAAATTAGCAAGAGCTTGTTTCAAATATTGAAAAAAAAGTAATAATATCGATGTTGCCAATTTTTAAATTACAAAAGGAAGAAGAACATTGAATTTTAAGGAAAAACTAAGAGTATGTTTTTTTAGGCTTAACTATGAAGAAATATATCTTGGGAAAAACAGCCTTGGCATGGAAAATCCAAAATTTCTTTTAGAAATATTTGCCAATAGAAATAAAGTCGCCCCGAAGATGTATCTTGCTTGTGTTCATCCGTGCATTTCGCCCAAGTCATTAAATAAAGGTCAATGCATTCACCCCCGATCATTACATTTACGACAAAATACATCTAGTGCAACCTCGGAAATCTAAATTACATTTTTGTACAGGCAACGAGGCGTTAAACTCCTAATTTATAGATACTAGACGCTCATATCGTGAAATTGTGCGGAAATATTAGGACCGATATCTTACTGATAACAAGCTTTAGATTTTTCCCATCTAAAAAGGACCTCAAGAAATCAGCTGTAATTGAACTCATTTAGATAGCCTTGTGGACCATCGATAACGCCCGTAGAGTCCCGATGAGAGAAATTCCGTAGGAAAGGATGACATTTTCAGGATGGTATCTAGGATAACAAAGCTTGCTAGAAAATTGCATATAGTATTGTTAAACTGGCTTTACTAGAAGCAAAACAATACACCATGATCACTTCATATGATTGAAACACACACACAATAAGCCACACTTTGTAGCACAAAACATTTTTCATATTTTCCTATGTTGAAATTTCTACGCAGAAATTTCTTAGCCACATAGAGATACAAGAGATTCAAAATAAATTATCCCACGCTCACTATGTGAATAGCCTTCATGTAACATACCTTAATCACGTGATCTTCACAGAGGAAGTAGCGGTACTTTCAAAAGCAGAGCAAAATCCCAAAATCCAAATATTTGTATGAACTATGAGATGCAGAAATATAGAAATCACAAGGAAAAATAACCAAAAATGGATCAAAAAGCAACGTCATTCCTCTAGGATTGATTTTCAAATACTGGCATAAAATAAGACGAATTCATGAATTTATTTTGACTGAAATAACTGATCTGATTACAGAAATGGGCTGTTAAAATTCACCAGGCCTCGATTAACAAGTCTCTCTGATCTGCTAGTCCATTCCAATTTTCAGCTTTGGACAATACAAATTACAATACTCATGAATAATATGAATGTTATATTAGAATGAGTTGTTGCAGATATTGGTGAAAAGGGAACCTAATCGTAGGGCTTAAAAACTGACCGGAATGCTTATGAGGCTATTCCGACACGGAAGAAAATTAAATCGGAATTTTCATGAGCATTCTTTGTAGGAATTGCTGATTTGGTCTGAATACTAACAAGAAACTTTTGCACGATTAATTCAGCATCAACTGTGTCCCTAACTTCATTAGGGACAAGAATTTGATCGATGCAGCGTATCTGACATATCTGTGCATGGTCAAGCACCAAAAACTGAAGTTTTTAGTATTTTTAGCTTTATCTGCTTAGAAGAATAAATTGTTCAACAAACGTTTGAAATATACGTCTGTGAATGTGCATGTATCTTGATTGAATTTTAAACAAACGATTAGGTTTGCATGGGAAAATCTACAAAATAATGTGCCAAATAATTTGAGGAAGAGCAACAACATTATAATATTAAGTTTAATCATGAAGGGTTTTTTTCATGTTTATTGGTGAAAGAATACACAAAACCATAAACCTCCTTAAGGAAATTTTTGAACTTCACTAAACCAGCATGTAATATCTTCCGTTTTGCATCAAGAATATCTTTCGGAGCATAAATGTAACACGTTGATGCGGAAATATAAGAATTAGAAAATGATGAATCTGAATAAAATCACAATGCCCTAAATTCTAGACGTCATTAACAGGAAATATAACAACAGTTGCTCGACAATCAGCAATGTAGTAAGCTGATTTGTAATAAAAATCACAAGTTAAACGCTTCAGTCTTCCTGATTCTATTTGAAGTTAAGAGTGGGACCATGTAATCTATACATTATAGTGTCGTATCAGATTCTGGATATAAATAACAACAAATAAATGAATTTCATTAGGAAATGGACTGGAAAATTGTTGAAATACACCAAGATCAAAGGAAAATTACATAGATTAATTGAGTGCAATTTTCAGCGCATTTGAACGCATTCACTTTGTTGATTTCACATGTCTTACATGTATTTCTAGCTCTCATTGAATATTTTGTGACAAATGGTATTGATTATAGAATCTGGACAATTCCTACCCCTTTTACTTTTTTATCTTTTCATTACAGCAATTTCTCTGTAAAATGAGAAATGATTTGTAAAATTATGTCTTCAGGCTTTAAAAAATTACACAGTGCAACCAAATTTGTTCTATATATGTAATAATATGTAGACTTGTGGATTAAGTCTTAAGTGCATTTTTTCCTACCTGTAATGATTAAAAAATATAAACATTTTCCAACAATATTAAAATAAAAGCTAATGGAAAATGCGCACAGCACCTTTATATTTTGGCTCTTGGAAGGGTCTCTACTTGAGATGTGATATGGTACGTACCATAATGCTAGCAAGAGAATCCTCAAAAGCAAATATTAAGAGAGAAACATTATTTTCTCTTGTTTTGAATTTGCCATTAAAATTCAAAACATTCTGAGAGACAAAAAGACAGATATGAAGAACAGTACATGTGAGAAAGGGGAAGATTATTTCTTTCACAATATTTGGCGTCCTGAAAGATGGAAATAAGGTTAAAGATGAAATACTGATGAGAATCCGAATTTTCTGCGACATTATCTACTCTTGTGACTGACGATAACCCGCTACTTTTGGTGCAAAAGGTCAGAATGTCTGGACGGGATACTGAAGACTCGGACTGACCAATTATTGATTGGCTCATTTGCATGCTTAATGAAATCTGCGGGGATTAGATCAAATGAACGTGCCACGTGCAATTAGCAGGACAAACGACAGAGCTAAGTGATCATTACAAACACTCTGAGAGACAAAACAAATTGAGTGAAACAATTTACAGAAAGCAGTGCCCTGTGTTCGGACCGAGATACACTTAGTCAGTTACACTGTAAAGTGTAATCATTTTATTTCTTGGGAATTAAGTTTTCGGTCTTGTAACATTTTTGTCCTAATATAATTTTTCAGTAATTGTTAAGTTCTATGGATGTTTCAAGATCAACCGAAATGTAAAGAAAGCTTCCATATTAAATTGCTTTTAAATCATTAAAGTAGACACAGAATCTTTTAATTAATATGAAACTTCTATGCCTTGCACGCTTTTTAGAGCAAAAAAAGGTGTGGAGATTTACTTTGAAAAATAATAAGAAGTATGTTATTTGTTAATTCTGTTAATAACAAATTAATAACGAAAAGATATATGCCAATTATTGCAATATCTTAACATCCATTTTAATAACTTCTCTGGGCCTGAATCATTCGGCATTATTTAATCAATTACATATATTTGTCATTACTTGAGTTTTATAGGAAAAACACATTGACCTTAACAGACCAAAGAACAGAAATAATACAGATGATGAGATTGCATTTCTGAAATACTTGATACCTACTATCAAGGCTTGAAATGAAAACTTTTTAAGATAGGATATGTGTAGGATATGTGTATCTCAGAAGGATAAGAATGTCCCTTTCGGAAATGGATATTAAAATTTGAGTCAAATACTTTGAACAAAATTATCCTAATATTTGCATTTTAAAAAACTTTAAAAGTTTTCAAAAACATAAGAAGAAGAAGGATTGATACTAATGCTGAATTTAAAAAAAGAAAAAGAAACTTTCGCTTTTTCCTCTGAATGCCTGAAAATCATTTAATATTTTTTTCGTTTTGCCAGGAGATTTGTGCAATCACGAACCTCGCATTTAGTCGAGTTTATATGGCAGTCTTCGGTCTCTTCATGACATACCTGTTTGTAAGTAGATTTGTTTTTTCAAAAACATTTTTGCATGTAAAAGAACATTTTGTCAGTTTATGTACACATACAGGTCTGTATTATCAATATTTTTCTTAAGAATTTAAAGTTTCGATTGACGTCATTTTAGTCCAAATTATTACAATAGTGAAGCAAATTGCATTTTAGAATTTCTTACTTTTTTATAGGTGTATGCAAGATTTTCAACACTACCAATATCTTAATAATAGAAGACTTTGCTTATTTTTTTTTTCGCTTGTAAAAAAAAAACGTTACAAATGAAGGTTTAGTTTTATTAATTTTTCTGTGAAAACTTCAAAAATTTTAAATTTCCAATTAAAATTCTCCAACATTTTTTTGTATTTATCTTTATATGATTAAAAAAAATAGTTGAAAGACTATGACTTATTTTTAAAACGTCAACACTGTAGTCGAAATCAAAAATATTTCATATTTTCATCATTTAACCTTTAATTAAAAGCATCAGTCAGATTCAATGAAAATAAAAATTACATAACTTAAGTTATACATCAAAGTCTTTGTTATAAATATCTAAAGCTTATAATTTAAAAAAGAATTGATTCGCATAATAAAACTTGTGGTTTGAAATCCAAATTAATCAAGTGCTTTCTTACAGATTTATAAATGAAAATGAAATCTGGCAAGGATGATTAGTGGTTATTCTTCACCCCTTTTCTCTTATTTTTTTCTCTGGGTTGGAAAACAAAAACAAGATTAAGAAATCGATAAATGAAAGGAGTTGAGCCATATTTACGGTTCCAAAATGTGAAATAAATCTTTGATCGGCACTGATAATGTCTCGAAAGCCACAATATTTCTCGTCATCCTTGGACACTAGAGGATTTGAAATGCCCGATTTGACGCTTGATAATTCAATTTTGTTATCTGGAATATAACAACTAAATCTGGCTCTTTTGCCAGTAGCAAAATAATTTGGGGATAATTTCTCGAAAAATTACATTTGCGGTGTTACGTAAGGGGAGTGTGGTTTTAAGAAATATTTAAAAAACAGAAAAATAATTAAACATATCTTATCCTCATCTTTTTTTCAGTGATGGGTTAAGATATCTATCTTCAAAATTAAGAAATATATATATCAGTTAAATTTTGGTTGTTACGCAATAAAAGCTAGGTTGCTTACATCACAAATTACTTTCGTCTAAAACAAATTCATCCGCATGTAGTTACATTTTAATTTCATTCAAAGGCATTTTAAGGGAGAATTTATTTTCTTCACTAAATTACGAAAAATAAAGTTTTAGGAATGAATTTAATAGCAACGCAACCGCCTAGCAGTTCATATAGCATAAACTGTCTCAACTCAGGTTAAAGCAGTATAACTTGGGTAACTATTTAATTCTTCCCTTGAATAAAGTCTTCTGTTGATTTTTAACCCTTTTTATATTTCATGTCAATTTTTCTGAGTTGTGTTTTACTCCGTCCGGAATTTTTTTTCATCAAAAAATATCATTTACAGGAAATTATGTCATTAATCAAGGAACATTATTACAAATACAAGAAATTTAACCATTCAGCAAAATACAAAAACTATTTTGTCCTTATTGCAAATGTACTAGAGTATGAAATATTGTTTAAATAAAATTATATATATTAAAATCACCTGCACTAACACGCGTGCCAGAAAACATATGTAAAACAGCATGAATTATTTCGCAAATATTATCTTCTTTTCAAGTTTGTGGTCTGCAATATGCTTGACTTCAAAAATATGATATTTACTTTTTTGTATTCATCTTTTACGACCAATTTTAAGATAAACTTGCATAATTATAACCACTTCGTTGGCCATTAACTATATCTTACACAAAAGTTGAAATTTCTTATGTAAAACTATCTAACTGGGCAATCTTACAACGGGTTGGTATCCTATTACCCCAAAGACGTAAACAAAAAGGTATTTTGTAGCCACCAGGTCATTTTTATAGCTTTGTATGATTTACTGGTTTTTAAAATGTGATAATTTTGCAAATTTATGAAGTGGGGTTGTGCTTTTTTCATAGCAGTTATCTTTTCCATCATTTTTTCTTCAAGCAATCAACGCTGGAGATAGCGACTTCGCAGGAAATATGGATTTTTTTCCCAACTACTGTAAATTATAATTCTAAAAGGTGTTAGATTTCAAAAGGAACACCAAATCCATGTCTGAAAAGCCATTCTCGCATTGTCTCAACGGAAGTATGGTTTTTTAGGGGGACAACAAAAAGCAGAGCGTTAAAGAGGCATTAATGCAACTTTCCCATTCCTCATTTCTGGCCAATTTAGCCCATTATTTATCCAAATTCATATCACTACATCCTGACAATGATGTCACTATAATTTATCATCTATGAATATGATATAAACATCTTTGCTCAATCATAATGTTTTATTGTGGCAATATATTAAATTAATAATTCTGTGGAACTATTATGGAAAAAACTGTACTTGTCGTTTTTATGTCAGAAAATGGATGTGCAAAACAACTTGTATGAAATATATCAGATGAAAATAAGATTGATAAAGTGATTAAAATCATTGAAAGCTATTGGTGTGGTTCGCCAGTATATTGATTTAAATCTGCAATATATATCTTTTTGAAATGCGCTTCATCTTCCGTTAAAGCCCACTTTCTTCTCTATCGCGCGGAAGGATATTAGGAAAAAACTTGTTGAAATTTACACAAAGAAGGTAACATGCGGAAATGATTAATGCGAATAAAATATGATTAATACCGAAAGAAGTATTTTCCTTTCTGCATGGACCTAACGCCATAATGATTTTCCAGTGACGATTTTACACCTCCCTAACTTTTAACGAGCAGGTGCGAGTTGAGCCTCTCTTCGATGAGAGAAAAAAGTTCCCAGGGCTTGGGCTATAATCTGCTGGGGAATTTCATAAAAAGACAAGGAATTAGAGAACCTCTGTTCGGGTAGGCTTAGGTATGCAAAGTATAGAGTCAAATTATTTACTCAAGGTCCTTCATAGAACTTGCATTATTAGAAGCACTGAGAACTGAAATATTATTTTAAAAGAGATTTTTTATCAATGCGCCTCACAGATGAACCAAGGAGTGAAAACAAAACAGTTGGAAAACAACACATGTACGGAGATTTTTCATTTTCGATAGAAAGTAATCAAAAGTGATCATAACATCCAAAACTATTGGCCAGCATAACGAGAATAGAGATGATATTTCCTTGAAATCACGACAAAAACTTGCAAACAAATTATGTCTTCAGAATTGTTTACGTTCTGGCAAATGTTACTTACAGCAAAGTGAGGTTATTAAACCTTATTTCACGTCAGGAAAACGTACCTTTTCTGTGAAGATATGTCATATAGGCAGATTTTCCTCCGATGCAACGTGTTCCACTCTGAAATAACAAATCCAAAATATAAGCAAATGTTAGTGAAGGTTTTGCTTTAAATACATTATATTAAGAGTTTATGCATTATTCTTGTAAATCCTTTCCTACAAATTACCATATTATGCAAACTATCATTATTAATATGCATTTATCGGTTTATTTCGTATGTTTTATTCATAAATCTCACTTGGATAGGGTAACTTTTGAATGAGGATCAATTTCAGATTTAGTATCGCGTATTGTGGCAAAAAGGTTTTTAATTGCATTGAAAACTAGAAAATTACGAACATAGCAATGTGTGCTATCTGAATGTTTCGATCAAAAAGTTATAAATTGTGCTTTTGACATGTGCCCCATATATTCTTTTGGTGAAAGATAAAAGGTTCCTTAAAAATTAGGGGCTACACTGTACTATAATTATTCTATTCTGAAAATAAAAAGTACCTAAATTATTTGTACTTGGAACATGAAGAAATACTTGTACCTGAAGAAATAACAATGGACTAGCAGTAAGAATCATAAAAGAACCAATACATAAATGAATGTTATTGTATTGTTCAGATGGAATGTCTTATCATCATGCTCCGAATATTTCACTATCCATATACTGATACTTTAATTAATATCGATCTCAAAATTAGCATGTTTTGATTAAGTATACACTGCTTAAAACTGATGCTAAAATGACCTTTCCTTATATAATGAAGGTTTTTAACTCTAAGATACTCAAGGTGTCTTTATATCTAACTTCCTATTGAGAATGCTTCTTTTCTGCATAGACAGATTAGAAGCCATCAGACGTAAAATCTGTCAATAATGAACACATCAAAGTAAATTCAACGTCTTTCACCTTAATCCAAGGGAGTTAGCATGCTTTTCTATTAGTGGTTATAATGCATCTTATCGAGCTTGCTAAATTAAGCTATTCTCGAATTTCCCAAAAGTCTTTCAAATGTTCTTTTAATTTAGAATTTCAATAGTGTCCATTCCCTGCGTATTACCTTTTATTGTTAGTTGTCCGTGTTTCCAAAATAATGTTTTTCGATAAGATAAACATTGTCCGAAAATGAACCTTTGCTATCAAAATTAACACTCGTCGAAAAGAGAAGAGCTCCTAATTAAACTTGAAAGAATTAAAGAAACTAATTTCGTTTCGGCATTTTAGTACTTACAAAAACACCTGTATTAGAAAGGCTTTGTAGGGATTTGCTTGGTGATCACAATGCGTTTTGTGAATGTGTCATTCTCATGATTGAAAAAATGGCTAGACCATAATTAAGAATAATAAGACCAAAACGATAAAATAAAACTACTAAAAGAAAACAAGATGAATGCCACCATAACAAATAAATCAAATAGCGCATGGAATGGAAAACTAAATTCAGGATTTAAATGTTTTATGTTGCTTCGAGCTCTGTTAAGGAAAAGAGTTTGATAGGTAGTAAATAAAATTAACATCCATGATCCCGATCCAGGCTGCAGCCTATTCGTCTTATATGCACATCGATATAAAACTCATACATCAATTCTCACGCCAAAGACTAAGACCATTTGTTTCAAATAAATCAATGGAAAAGTGTGAAATATTAATTTCTCTAGCTTTGGAGTGATATTTTAAACAAAATTATCAATATAATTCGAATTATCGACAAAAACGACACATTTTATTCTACTGAGGCATATAATTTATCAGACGATTAGCCTCAACCGACTCCAGAGTGCGCCAAACACTTTATTGATGTTACAGTAGTTTACAGACACCGTATCAGTTTTCCGGGTTTCCTTTTGTTACAGATATGATCCAGAGTTGTTCAGCGATCGACAGCAAAGGGTCGTAAAAGCGTCGAGCAATTTCAGGAAAACCAAACCAAATCGTTTTGGGTGGAATTTGAACCTGCATTCTCTAAAATGAACTGTCAGGTCCAAAGAGGTTGTTAAGATCCGGTGCCGAGAAAATTATAGGTCTGTTACGTGCACTGTCCTCTCTTTCCCGTGCGAGATTGCGCGAGATCTGAAGATGCACGATTAAATTTGACACTTCGCTCATCTGCCATCCCCAATTCAAACTCTCTCTAGGCAACTGCATTTGCTGGCGCTACTATTTATTATTTATATATCAAAAACATAAAAATACTCATTAATGTAGATATTTTAATAATTAAAATAATACTAATCACTATGCAGAGATAAAGTAAGTATCGATTACACTTCTTTAAATTACATTAAGAATGAAAGCGTGCTTAGGGCCTTGCAAACAGAAATATTCCACTTTTTAGCCTAATTTTCAAGAAACGAACAAAAAAAATACATATCGAATTTATTTAATGTACATTTTTAAGTATTGATATTTTGTGCATTAAGTATTTATATTCTATGCAATTTCAGAGCAACTGATTAAAAGTTTATCTAGGGGCTAACTGTCCCCTATGCTCACCAAAGTAAGAAACTGATTCATATTTGTAAATGAATGGTAGATATATATAATGACCAGGGTGGGGGTAGGGGTGTTACATATAGCTAGCATTGTATAAAATAAACTTTCCTTTCAAACAGCAATCATTGCTTTTTTTCGGTGGATTTGTCAGTTGCACTACAAATAACTATAAGTAGTAACAACAGAAAATCAAATGTATACATTTATTTATATGATGGCATAATGTGTCCTCTTTGGAGGTCCGTGTTTGCTCTGCTCCTAATTGTATTGTTTTTTTTTTACATGTATTGGCTTTTTGATGTTGAATATTTAGTCCAGTACTGTTCGTTATCTCGTTATCTTATATTTCATAAAAGAGAAAGTGGAAAAATAAGGAAAAAATTTAAAACATATGTCGATCAAAACTGTGTTTCTCGGTTCCTTTCTTGGGTAAACAACGAAGAAAATACGATAAGATTAAGTTTTTATTTCCCAGAAAAATTCATTGAGAAAAAGAGAAGAAACGCTTTCGGTACAAGAGAAGTGATTATGTTAAGCAAATGGTTATAGGATATTAAGTTCACCAAATAACTAATTTGTCACGTAACAAGGATGATGTATCATTGCTTGATGAGGCAGAGGTTAATCAGATGACTAATTACTAACAAACACCGTTACTCGTCAGACCATGTACTGTAGCATCAGTCTCCGATAATTTACATCCAGACTCGGGTATTAAAGTGATTACATGCACCTAAATAGCGATAAGTCTTGGGTTGTTTTAATTTTTTTTTTGCAAAACTCATCAAAGAAATATATGTAGATAACAAACAGTGATTCCGAAACTTCATAAGAATCCTTACAAATAAAGATACATTGCGGCTTCTAGTAAATGTTCAACCAAGCCTCTTTTTCATTCCTCACTAAGATATTGACAATAGTGAAGGAAAAACCTCAAGAGTACTGTGCAACAATATATTCAAGGAGTGGTGTGAATCAGATGTGGATACTCCAAAATTCCAAAGAAGTTTTGGACAATTTGAAACAAAAGATTTTACCAAAATTAAACGCTTAAAAACTTTTAATTTTTCAACTTTATACACAACCATTCCCCACGATAAATTAAAGCCCAGTCTTTTTTATATCTTTGACAGCTGTTTTTTCAATAAAAATGGAACTCGTAAATTTACTAACCTCGTCATTGGTCATTCGCAAAATCATTTTGTTAAAACATATTCTGATTGCACACACAAGTACTCTGAAGTTGACATCAAAAAGATGCTTGAGTTTCTGACAATGTCTATGTGGTTTTTGGAGACCAGGTCTTCCAACAATCTATTGGAATCCCCATGGGTACCAATTGCGCTCCGTTATTAGCAGACTTATTTTTGTATTCATATGAAGCAGAATTTATGCAAAATTTTATGCGAGAAAAGAAGAAAACACTTGCTGTGGCCTTCAACTCAACATTTAGATATATCGAGGACGTATTGTCAATTAACAATAGTAATTTCCATTCCCATGTCGATACTATATATCCTGGTGAGCTTGAGATAAAAGATACCACAGAGTCTGACACATCTGTTTCATACTTGTATATTTTACTTCAAAATGATACTAATGGTAATCTATCAACCAAGTCTTATGATAAACGTGATGACTTTAACTTTTCTATCGTGAAATTCCCTTACCTATGCAGCAATATACCTTCATCACCTGAATACGGAGTTTACATATCTCAGCTCAGTTGATTCGATACGCTAGACCATGCTCTTCGTATGAACAATTTCTAAAACGAGGTAAATTATTGACAAACAAGTTGATGAAACAAGACTACCAGCAGTCTCATTTAAAGTCATCATTTGGTAAGTTCTATGGTCGATACTATGACCTTGTCAGCAAATACAATTTATCATTGAGTCAAAATCTGGCTGAGGTTTTTCATTAATTGTTAGTCCATTATTTATACACTGAATTGACGACGGATTTTTCCGTTATTTCCCGATCATAAAAAGGAGCACACGGCGGGTGTGACCGGTCGGCAGGGGATGCTCACTCCTCCATGGCACCTTATCCCACCTCTGAAGTTTTGGAGGTCTGTGTTTGCTCTGTTCCTATTTTGTATTGTTTTATCAGAATTTGACGCAATGATAAATTGTATTTGCTGACAAGGTCACTGTTTCAACCATACAACTTACGAAATGATGACATATAACGAGACTGCTTATATTCTTGTTTCATCAACTTGTTTGTCAATAATGTAGCTCGTTTTAGAAATTGTACATGCGTAGAACATGCTTTTGCATATGGATTTAGCTGAGAGATATAAACTCCGTTTGCAGATGATGAATTTATAATTAGTAAATCAAATGTAAATTATAAGTCTAAAATGAACTACGTATTCTATAATAATTATGCTTAGCATCCTGTCGCAAGAGCTACAGGCACACAGGCAAACTCTTAAAAATTGTTTATAAAATAAAGTTTATTGTAAACTAAGTTATAAGTAATAATTTTTACATGCATCAGAAAATTTCATTAATCATTAATGTGCAAATTTCACACCCAGTGATTATATATCTATAAGACTTTA